AATCTTCTTAAATTTATTGAGAGTTGTTTTGTGGCCTATTATGTGAACAATCCTGGAGAATGTTTCATGTGCATTTGAAAAGAATTTGTATTGTATGGTTTTTGGATGGAATGTTCCGTATATATCTACTAAATCCCCCTGGTCTAATGTGTCATTTAAGGGCAATGTTTCCTTATTGATCTTCTGTTTGCGTGATCCATCCTTTGGTGTAAGTGGAGTGCTAAAGTCCCCTACTGTTATTGTATTACTGTCTATTTCTCCTTTTATGATGTTAATAACTGCTTTATATATTTAGGTGCTCCTATGTTGGGTGCATAGATATTTACAAGTGTTATATCCTCTTGTTGGATTGTGACCTTTATCATTATGTAGTGCCTTTCTTTGTCTCCTGTTAGAGTTTTTGCTTTAAAGTCTATTTTGTCTGATATAAGTACCGCTACTGCAGCTTTCTTTTCTTTGCCATTTGCACCAAGTATCTTTTTCCATCCCTTTACTTTCAGTTTGTTGGTGCTTTTAGGTCAGAAGTGTGTCTTTTGTATGCAGCGTATATATGGGTCTTGTATTTTTATCCAGTTGGCCACCCGTTGCCTTTCGAGTGGAGGCCTTAGTCCCCTGACATTTAAGTAGCCATTTTTAGCATGTACTTATTGCCATTTTCTTACTTTTTTTCCTGGGTGTTTTAGTAGTTCTTTCCTGTTCCTTTCATTAGGAGAGTGCTAATTTTCGTCTAGAAGTAAGAAATATTGAGTCCAGCACAAGCAAAACCCAGTATAAGGATTTCACCAACTAACAGTTTCTATGATAAGGAAGAGGCACATAAGTAAGATCTTACATATTCCTTGTAAAGCAGGGCTTATAGGTTTTTTTCCATAGATGACTTCAGGGACACTGCCAGGCCTGAGGCTTGTGTCCTCATGACCCCACCACATAAGGCTATGTCCTTCTTTTGGACAGTTAAGAAGGGACACAGGTGTGAGTGGTCAAGTTTCTCGTCCCTTGGCATGCCTGCTGCTACATGGTGATGGGAGTGAGTCCCTTTGCAGGGAAGGGCTGCATGTCCTAGATGGGGAAAGAGAACAGGGAGTGGCTGCAAATGCCAGGTCAGAGGCCCTTCAGGTTTTGAAGCCTTGCTCATTGGGTTTGGTGCTCTAAATCGTATGCAAGTCACCTCAATGGTGGCCCTGGTTGCCAGGAGAGGAGCTCCAAGTCCAGCCCAGGCATGTTCAGGCAGGTGCAAAGCTGTCCCTGCTGTGGAGGTGTTGGGCATTGCAATGGAGAGGTAATACACTCGGAGACCAGCCTTCACCACCTTTGCTCTGGGGAGGGGCAGCTGTGTCTCTGTCATGTTGCAACCAACCATTTTAACAGGAAGCACTCTCGTAGCACTCACAACAGGCCAGGGTCTGTGAACTCCCTGAATCCTCACAACACTCCATGAGAGTCTGTTACTATGCAGGTGAGGAAGCTGAGACACAGTAGCGTTAGTTGGCTTCAGCACAAGGTCCTGACCGGGGACCTCAGCCCAGGCAGGCTGGCTGCAGCACCCATGAGCTGCCCCGTCTGTGGCTTTCGCAGTAAGGGAAAGACCTCTGTAGCTCAGTAGGTCCCATACTAGTAGGCTGCTGGAACCTGGCCTAGAGCTGGGGCATTGAAAGTCAGGGAATCTTTCATCCCACTCTCTGCACTTTATTCTCTCCCCAACCCTTCCTCTTCCTAAGACAGAAAATCCTCACTCCAGGAGCTTGAAAATTCCACAAATTTTGTTGGATGTAGACGCTGGGCTGGTGGGCCTAAAGGAGTGCTGAGGTCACCATAGGGGTTGTGTTGCTGTCCTCGGGGGAGGCCCTGTGCACCAGCCTCTTGTTTGCATGTCAGGAGAAGGGCCGAGGGCCCATCCCAAGGCAGGGAGGTGGGTGGGAGGCACTGGGGGTCCTTGAATCTGGGGGTCACTGTCCACGAGTGACCTCAGTGGAAGACTATCAAGGACAAGCTGAGGAAAGTGCAGAGGGTAGAAGAGGCCCTGATGTAAAGGGTGTTGTGAGAGCTGACCTGACCTGGATAATGTCTCCTGGAGGTTGGTTCTCTGGGTCTGTGGGGGTAGAGGCAGACGTGGGGCAGTGACAGTGGTTGGGCATGGCTGCCACCTACCACTGTTTAGGTTGTGCACATTGCCCAGGACCAGGCAGGACCTGGAATGAGTGGGAGCTGCTTCTTTTGCCCAGGGGAATGAGGCACCGCATCTGAATCACCATAGGTCTCCCCAGAGGCCAGTGTTGGCTGTGAATCTGAGCCTCAGTGGGTGGGGTGGGGTGGCTGGGTGCATTTGGAGAGAGCCGAGGCAAGCCAGGATGCCCGTGAGTGGAAAATGACCGAGGTGGCACAGGAGGCTCAGTAATCCTGTGCCAGAGGCTTCCCCGCAGTATCATCAGGGGGCGGCCTGTAGCTCCTGGTCTGCTGCTGGCCTCTCGACCCCATGTGTGGCATCCTGCAGTTGGCCTCAATGTCACAGTCTGGGAAGCATCTGTGGCTCTGTCTGAGGGCTTCGTCCCAGAGGCCTGTATGCCCAGTTGAGGCTATGAGTCTACTTCTGTCCAATGGACTGAGAGCAGATGTTATGTATGTCGCTTTAGGGCCAAAGACTTGTTTAAAATATTTTTTCCCCCGCTTTATTGAGGTATAGTTGATTAAGAATACTGTAATATATTTATAGTATACAACATGGTGATTTCGTATATGTGTAGATTGTGAAATAATTACCACCAAGTTAATGAACACATCCATCAACTCATAGTTACCTTTTTTGGGTGACAATGCTTATGCTCTACTCTTAGCCAGTTTTAAGTATAGGAAACAGTATTGTTAACTACAGTCACATTATCCATTAGATCTCCAGACCTTATTCATCTCCTAACTGAAAGTTCGTGCCCTTTACCAGCCTGTCCTCATTTCTCCCACTCCCTAGATCCCTGGGAACCACCATTCTACCTTCTCTTTCTCTGAGCTTGCCTAGTTTGGATTCCATATATAGGTGACATCATATAGGTATTTGACTTTGAATTCTTTCACTTAGCATGATGCCCTCAAGGTCTATCTATGTTGGCAGAAATGACAGGATTTCATATGATTCACGGCTTACTAATGTTCCTTTGTGCATATATAACCCGCACCTTCTTTCTCTATCTATCTGTTGATGGACACTTAGGTTGTTTCCATATCTCGTCTAATTTGAATAATGCTGCAATGAAGGAGGAGTCCAGACTTCTTGTTGAAACAGTGATTTTAATTCCTTGGGATAAATACCCAGAAGTGGGCTTCTCAATCATATGGGAATTTAATTTTTAGTTTTTTGAGGACCTCCATACCGTTTTCCATAGTGGCTGTTGAACTTGATATTGCCACCAGGAGTGTACAAGGGTTCACTTTCAGGCCAAGCATTTTAAGAAGCAAGTGCGGGTTCTCCAAACTCTCATCATCTGCCTGGGTTCAAAGGACCCTGAGCCCTTCGGAGATGGTGGAACCACCAAGCAGGAGGAGCCTGGATCCCTGACCTAATATGTGGGCCACCACGTGCTCACATTGGGAGGTTCTGTGAGTGTGCAATAGACTTCTCTTTTTTAGACTATTGAAATAGTGGGATTTATTTGTTACAGCCACTACCATGACCCTAAGCAATCTACCTCCTAGCTGGCATTGCCCACTAGGGCAGTGCATCAGAAACTATTCATTGTTGTGGAGTAGGACCTGTTTGTTCATATTTCCAATCTGTGATGGACTGTTCCTTTTGGTCTGTACCCTGTTCACCTACACAAGGCTCCTGATCACATACTTGGATGTCATGAAAATGTCAAGTTGCTGTAAGTGTTTTTTAAAGATTTTATTTTTCCTTTTTCTTCCCAAAGCCCCCCGGTACATGGTTGTGCATTTTTAGCTGTGAGCCCTTCCAGTTGTGGCATGTGGGACGACACCTCAGCTTGGCTTGACGAGCGGTGCCATGTTCTCGCCCAGGATTTGAATCCACGAAACCCTGTGCCACCGAAACGGAGAGCGTGAACTTAACCACTCAGCCATGGGGCCGGCCCATCAAGTTGCTGTAAGTTTTGAAGCAGTTACTGGCAGTTTCTGCACTCATCTGGTTGTAAACATAAACAGTTGGTGGACCAGTACTGGCACTGCTCTAGCTTATTTCTCTGTTTTATTTTCCCCATAGCATTTACCATTCCCTGTAATTATCTTGTGTGTTTAGAGGTCTATTTGTTTCTGGTTTCCTTCCCTGCCAGAATGTAAGCTCCATCAGAAAGAGATCTTCTTATGTTGCTCTGTTGCATTCCTATTTCCTGGTACAGTGTCTGGTACATTGTAGGCACTCAGAATGTATTTGTTGAATGATTACTAAATGGCAAGCATTGCTGGGTGGTGGGAGAGGTGGGAGAGGAGGCAGTCCATACCTGTTACAGAAGCTCTCTACAGTCATAACCTGATGCGAATTCTAACCAGTTCACCGACAGCTGCCTGACTCCCTGGATTTCTGGGAGATCACAAGTTCCCAGATTAGGTCTGGCCTCTTACAACCCACCTCCCTAGATTCCCCCTTCGAGATTGGACCACTGTGGACTGTCACTGTCTGGTGATGTGTCTGTCTGCCACCTTGGTTTCTAAGTTCTGAAGGGTGGGATTGGACCTGAAGTGGTCACTGCTATGTCCCCAGAGTCACGCGGCATGGTCAAGGCCCCTGGTCAGCATAAATAGGTTTATGGCACAAATGCATGAATGTGGGCAGGAGGGGAGGGTACCCTGGGGAAACAGTGCCGTACCCTACTTCCCATGGTCCCATCCCTTGGCAGGGTCCCAGAGTTGGTCTTGAGCACAGGTCAAATGGGCTGCGTTACACTTCCTCCCCACTTCCACAACCTCAAGGTGCTTGCTCAGGCTGGCAACACTTGGCACTCTAGACACTGAGGAGCTGATGTCCCATTTAGCCCAAATGGATACTTAGAGCCATCTAAGTAATGCTGCTGTATATATTTGGTGATTTGCTCATGAGCTGGAGGGCAGGTTACCGAGAAAGTATGGCCACTGTCAAGAGAATCACGAGGAGTAATATACCGATGCATACCACCAGAATTGCTGCAATCGCAAATATGAAGGCATAGCGGGAAGCCTCGGCTGCCAGGTCTCGTTCATTCTTATAGTTGTGTTTCCTTGTCTGAGTTTCAGAAGAGGCAGAAGAGGAATAGATGGGTTTAAAGGGTTGTTGGTTGGGGGTGAGATTTGGTACTGTAAGGATCCAGGGTGGGGACCTGAACCCACAGGAGCAAGAATGTGGATGAAGTTTGTTGAGGGTAAAGGAAGGATGGGGAGGGAGGGGCGGGGAGGAATGACGTGATGCCGATTCACCTGTTCAGAATAGTACATGGCCACAGCTCCTAAGGGACAGCACACCAAGTAGGCCACGAGCACCAGGATAAAGTGATCTTCAGGTTCCTCATCAGACTCACCATCTGCCTCACACATACTTTCAAGTGACTGAGGGCGGGGAGTGGGTTATGGCTCAGTATGGCTTCTGGACTCTTCCATCCCCTTTGACCTCCTCCCTTTCACCCTTTTGGCTCCCATAAATTCTTCGTTGAGTCCCTTTAAAACTTTCACCGAATCCCTCTTACTCCCACCATGTCCCCTCTAACTTCTCCCCATCCCGTTTAATACTTCCCTGTCCCCTAGAGCTCCTGGTACCTCCGTCCCCATGCCCTATAATCCCTCTCTGTTCCCTGTTCCCCTTTCCCAGTCTCCTATAACCTTCCCCCTTCTTCTAAAACAGCCTTGGTGAAACCTGAAGTATGTCTCTCTTGCCCCTTCCACTGTCCCCCCAAATCCCTTACTGACTCTGATGACTGTCACTCGGCCTCCCTGAAACCTCAGCTGACCCACTGTCACACTTTCTTCTTATAACACCCTCGTCGTTCCCCAAAGCAGCCTTCTCTTTGCCCCTATAAATACTCTACAAACCGACCCTCATTCAACACTTTAACACTCTCACTTGTCGTCTGTAAAAGCTTCATTGTGCCCTTATCATATCCTTACTCTATCAAACCTCTAATGTCTGCAATAGCTGTCTGCTTGCCCCATTTCTACTGTCCTTCACTTCATCCCTGTGAGTCTGTCATGGTCCTGCTCTGAAACTTCCCATTCACCCCTAAACTCCTCCCTCCCTCCCGTCTCCCATAACCTCTCCCTCGGCTCCTCTAAGATCTTCTGTGAGCATCTGTCCTCTCCGTGGGCACTCATAGCCTGCTCTCTGTCTCCTTATAAAAGCCCGCCCTGTCTCCCTGTAGCACCATCTCTGTCCCTCTGTAACCAGCTTCCTGACCCTTTGAACTCCTTCTCTGTCTGCCTATACAGCCTTCCTGTTCTCCTAAACACGTGCTCGTTCCAGTTACTTCTCTACCTATAACACCCCCTTATGAAACCTCTTTGCCCCCTCATTGCTCCTCTACCTCTCTTCCTCCCACCCTGTCCCCCCATAAATTCCCTGCCTACCCTCCAAACACTTCCATTAAGACCTCTGGATCCAGCACTACCAAGGCTACATGGAGCCTCCTGCTCACTTCCACCTGCCAGGGATTACCATGGAGACCAGGCAGGCCCCGCCTCCCATTCTGTCTTTCTCCTACTATTGGCTGATTGGAGGTTGTGTGTGTTGGGGTGGGGAAGCCAATACTTGGCTGCTGATGGGTCTGAAAAAGTTCAAGTTTTTCATACTCTCTCAGGTGATTGATCTATTCTGAGAGTGCCTTGGGGGGAAAAGCACCAGTAGGGGCAAGAGTGATGTGGGCCTAGGAGCCTTGGGTTGTTTCAGGCACCTTGAGCGGTCATTTAAGTACTTGGAGTCAGGTTGTTCAGGAGTGGAGGGTGATCTTTGTGAGAATTAACAGCTTTTCGCGTGCTTATCTGCCAGCTGTCTATCCTCTGGCAAAGTCTCAGCTCAGATCTTTGGCCTATTTAAAAATTTGCGTTGTTTTTGTTACAGTTAAGTGTGAGAGTCATTTATATATCTTGGATACAAGTCTTTTATCAGGTATGTGATTTACAAATATTTTTTCTGGATCTGGAGCTATCTTTTTGTTTTCTAACAGTGTCATTTGCAGAGCAAGAGTCTTCTTTTTTTCTTTTGTGGACATGCTTTTGGTGTCATGTCTAAGAACCCTTTTCTTAACCCAGCGTCAGGAAGATTTTCTCCTATGTTTTCCTCTGAAAGTTTGATAGATTTACTTTTTACATTTAGGTCTATGATCCATATTGAGTTAATATCTGTATAAAATGTGAGTTTTGGTACAGATTAGTTTTCTTTGCATATGGCAGTCCAATTAATCTGATACCATTAAAAACATTCGATTCTCTCTTTATCTCTTTCTGCACTCCTCATTGTGTTATGTTGATCTCTGTGTCTATCTGATTGCCAGTACCACAGTGTCTTTAATGTAGCTTCACAGTGATTCTTTTTTAACTTTTTGCAGGGAAGGATTTGCTCTAAGCTAACATCTGTTGTCAATCTTCCTTTCTCCCCCCACAAAGCCCCAGTACATGTTGTGTGTAGTTGTCAGTTCTTCCGGCTTTTCTCTGTGAACTGCTGCCACAGCAGGGCTACTGACAGATGAGTGGTGTGGTTCCGTGCCCGGGAACCGAAACTGGGCTGCCAGAGCAGAGCGTGCCGAACTTTCACCTGTAGGCCTTCAGGGCTGGCTCTACAGTGATTCTTAAAGTTGAGTGATGTGAGTACTCCAATTTTATTCTTCTTTTTGAGAATTGTTTTGAGTCTACTTTTCTAGATCTACGAATCCTGTTGGTCTTTTAACAGGAATTGCATATCAATTGGGAGAGATGCTGAGCCTTCCAATTCATGATTGTGGGAAGGCTCACCATTTGTCTAGGTCTCCTTTTATTTCTTTCATCAGCAGCTGCAGCTTAAACACACAGCTGGTACACACAATATTGTAGATTTACATCCAACTACTTGATCGTTTGGGAGCCGTTGAAAAGTGTATTATGATTTTTTGTGGCGAGGTAGATGCACCCTGAGCTAACGTCCAATGCCAACTTTCCTCTTTTGGTTGTTTATTTGGTTGAGGAAGATTAGCCCTGAGCTAACGTCTGTGCCAGTCGTCCACGATTTTATATGTGGGACGCCTTCCCAGCACGGCTGATGAGTGGAGTAGGTCCACACTCAGGAGCTGAACCCATGAACCTGGGCCACCGAAGCAGAGTGCGCTGAACTTTTAACCACTCGGCCGAGGGGTTGGCCTCGAAAATTGTATTATTTTCAAAAGATATTAGTTTCTGATCGTTTACTGTTAGCATACGGACATGCAATAGATTTTGTGTGTTGCTATGTTAATTGGTGATCTTGCTAACCTGATTTTATCAATTCTAGGAGCTTTTGTTTGTAGATTCCTTGGGATTTTCTGCAAAGACAATCACGCCGTCTGCCAATAAGGGTGATTTTCTTTCCTCCTTTGTAATCCATATGCCGTTTCTCTCTCTCTCTGACTTCTTGTGCTGATGAGGACTTCCAGGCTGACGTGTAATAGCAGTGGTGAGAGTGGACATCCTTGCCTTTTTGCAGATTTCAGGGAGGAAGCCTTTCCTCCTTCAGTGTTACATATGACGTTAGCTATGGGTTTTCTGTAGATGCCCTTTATCAGGATGCGGAAGGCCCCTGTTAGTTCTGGTTTGCTGAGTTTTTATTGTGAAAGAAACTTGAGTTTTCTGAAATGCTTTTTCTGCATGACTTGATCGTGTGGTTTTCCTTCTTTATACGGTTAACATCGTGGATTACACTGATTGCTTTTCTAATACTGAACCAGCTTTGCATCCTTGGGAGAAACCCCAGTTGGTGATGGTGTGTGCTACTTATATACTTCTGTTTCTGGTTTTCTAATATGTCATTGAGAAGTTTTGTGTCTGTATTCATGAGAGAGATTGGTCTGAAGTGTTTGTACACTGCCTTTATCTGGTTTTCGTGTCAAGGTAATGCTGGCCTCATAAAATGAGTTGAATGATAGTCCTTCCTCTTCTGTTTTCTGGAGAAGATTGGGTAGAAGTGATGTTACTTGTTTGCTGTAATTTACCAGTGAAACCGTCTGGGTCTGGAGATTTCTTTTCCAGAAGGTTTTTAGTTACAAAATCAAATTGTTTACTAGATATAAGGTGACTGAGATAATCTCTTTCTCCTTGATGAGTTTTGGGAGCTTGTTTTTGAAGAGTGGGCCAGTTTTCTCCTAAGTTTCAGAAATTATGTGTGGGGCTTTGTTTGTAGTAGCCCCTTATTTTCCCTTGAATGTCTCAGGGGTCTGTCGTGAGGGCACCTCCTTCATTTCCAACAGTGGCTACTTGTCTCTTCTCTCTTTTGTCCATCTTACGAGAGGTTTATCAATTTTATTGATAGTTTCAAAGAAACAGCTTTGGTTTCATTGATTTTCTCTATTGTTTTTCCTTTTCCAGTTTCATTGATTTCCACTCTTATCTCTTCTTTCTTCTCGTTACTTTCGGTTTATTTTGCTCTTCTTTGTCTAGTTTCTCACTGGAAGCTTAGATTGCTAATTTGAGACATTTCTTATTTTGTAATATGGGCATTTGAAGTTGTACGTTCCCCTCTAAGCACTGTGTTAGCTGCATCCCACATATTTTGATATGTTACATACTTCATTTTTGATCAGTTAAAAACATTTTCTAATTTCCCTTGACCCATGAATGATTTTGACATGTGTGGCTTATTTCCCAAGTGTTTGGAGATTTTCCTGTTGTTTTTCTGTTTTTATTCTAAGTTTGCTTTTATTATGGTCAGCACACTAAATTCTATGAGTTCTCATGACAAGGAGAACATTTTTTCCTCCGTTTTCTTTCTTTTCTTTTTATCTATAGGCAAAGACAGATGTTAGCAGAACGTCTTGCGGTAATCACTTCTCAATCTATAGAAATCAAAGCATCATACTGTACACCGTCAACTTATACAGTGATGCCTGTCAATCATATCTCATCAAGACTGGAGAAAAAGTATTCCATTTCTATGTAGCAAAGCACCATACACTTAGCAGCTTAAAACAGCAGCTTTTATTAGCTCACAGTTCCGTAGGTGAGAAATCTAGGAATGGTATGCCTGAGTTCTCTGCTCAGGTTGTCAGAAGGCTGAAATCAACGTGCCTGCTGAAATGTGTTCTCATCTGGAACTCCGGATACTCTTCCAAGCTCATGCTTTTGTGCAGAAGTCAGTTCCTCGTGGCTTTGGGACTGTAGTCATTCTCTTTCTTTGTGGCTACCAGCTGGGATAGATTCGTAGATGCTAAAGTCCACCTGCATTCCTTTCCGTGTGGTCCTGTCCATCTTCAGAGCCATCAATGGAGAATCCCCGTCCATCAAAATCACTCTCACACTGACTGTCTGAGTTCCTCTGTCTCTGACCTCTAGACTCCGTTTTAAGACCTTATGTGTTTAGGTCAGACCCACCCAGATAATCTCCATTTCTAAAAGTACACCGTAGCATATAACCTACCCTAATCACAGGAGTGGTATCCCGTCATAGTCACAGTCTCGGAGATTATATAGGATTATACACCAGGGGGCAGAAATTTTTTTTGGGGGTGGGTGCATTATGGAATCTTGTGTGCCACAGTAAGATAATATGACTTTATATGCTTTGTTTAGTATGATTTCATATGGTTTGTATGACTTGAATTGTTTGAAATTTGTTAAAGTTTGTTTTATAATCGAGGATATGGCCTATGTTGATGAAGTTCTATGTGCACTTGAAAAGAATGTGCGTCTGCTTTCAGTGGGTGCTATGTTCAGTAAATGGCAGCCAGATCCACTTGGTTGATGATGTTCAGTTTTTGTATACCCTTGCTAATTTTCTGTTCACTTGTCCTATCGGTTATTGAGAGAGGAATGTTGAATTGTTCCGCTAAAATTGCAGATTTTACCTTTTGGTTTTATCCGGTTTTGACTCATGTGCTTTGAAGCTCTGTGTTACGTGCTCATACAATTAGGATTCTTTAGTCTTCCTGTGGAATTGTTCCTTTTATCATTATTTAATGCCCCTCTTTATGTCTGTTAATTATCCTCGCTCTGATGTGTGCTTTGTCTCATATTAATATAACCACTCATCTTAATGTTGTTAGTGTTTTTATTGCATATCTTTTCTCTCTCATAAATTTTCTTTGATCCTACGTACATCATTATAATTAACGTGAGTTTCTTGTAGCCATGTATAGTTGGGTCTTGTATTACATCCCCGAGTGAGATGGGCAATCTACATTCTGCTTCTGACCCCTGTTTCACAAGCTGCAGGTTTTCCCATTAGTGCCTGTAAGTTTGAGCTTGCAAGATGTTCAAGGACCAGCCTCCCCAGCGTCCCCTAGGGGCTCGTTAGACATGGAGAATCCCTTGTTCTACTCCCATACTCACTGAATGAAAACCTGCTTGATGACAATACCTTTCAGTGATTTGTGTGCACATGGAAGTATCAAAAGTATAGTCTATAGGACACTGTAGACTTTTGAGGGATGAAACCTTCTTTATTAGCATTAATAGCCAGAGAGGGATCTTTGTGATTAGCTTCTTAGATATACAGGTTTAAAATCTGTGATACCTGGCATATCTCAGACCATCCTGTCTCTAATTTCCTCATCGCAAATGGCATTTTTATGACCCTGTGAAGTAAAACCGCTCTTCTAACCCAACTTACTAGTTTATTTTATAACAACCCAGCTCTTTATGTAGTCTTATTTGTTTTGAAGGATATGAGCCCTCCTTTTTGGTACACTTTCTGAACTGGCATTACTTGGTTGATTCAGTCCTAGCATGTTCGTAAGCTTTGCCACAAGCATAAGGTCACTTTCCTGAGAAACCTTTCCTTCCTTCAGGGCGTCTTCTACCCTCCACACTTTCCTCAGCTCATTCTTGATGGTCTTTCACTGCGGTCAGACATGGATGGTGACCACCAGATTCAAGGATCCCCAGTGCCTCCCACCCCCCTCCCTGACCTTGGCATGGGCCCTCAGCCCTTCTCCTGATCTGCAAAGAAGAGGGTGGGGCACAGGGCCTCCCCTGAAGACAGGCCCCGCCTCCCACCAATGTTGAGCTTCCAGACTCAGACAGACTAGGAAGAAGGACCTGGTCAGCCACTTCCGAAGAACTTGGCCGTGAAAACCGTGAATAGCAGCAAAGCGTTGTCTGATATAGCGCCAGGAGGTGAGAGGATGGTGCCCCAAGCCTAGGCAGGGTTCGGCTGTGCTGTACACAGGGTCAGTATGTGTCACAACCCACTTGACAGCAGCACCACCAACAACAAATACAACCAGTAGGTTAAAAACACAATTCCTGAGGAAAGTGAGCTTGTGGCTCCTTGTCTGCCACTGGCTTCTCTGCCCCCATCTGTGGCATCCTGCAGTTTGGCCCCATCTCAGAGTCTGGGAAGGGTCTGTGTCTCCGTGTGGGGGCCTCATCCTAGAGGATTGAGAGCAGGAGTGATGTATGTTGCTCTAGGGCCAAAGACTTATTTAAAATAAATTTTCCCTTGCTTTATTGAGGTATAGTTGACAAATAATATTGTAGTATAGTTAAAGTGTACAACGTGATGAATTGATATATGCATACATTGTGAAATTATTGCCGCAATCAAGTTAATGAACACATCCATCACCTCACATAGTTACCTTATTTGGTGAGAAGGCTTATGATCGACACTTAGCAAATTTAAATATAGGAAACAGTATTGATAACCACAGTGACATTATCCATTAGGTCTCCAGACCTTATTCCTCTTAGAACTGAAAGTTTGTACCCTTACCAGCCTGTCCCCTTTTCTCCCACCCCCAGATCCCTGGGAACCACCATTCTTCTACTCTGTTCCTATGAGTCTTCCTTCCTTCTTTCCTCCCTTCCTCCCTTCCTTCTTTCCTCCGTCCACTCTCTCTTTCATGTATTTATTCATTGTGTTGAGGAAGACTACCTCTGAGGTAACATCTGTGCAAATCTTCCTCTATTTTGTTGTGGTGTCTAGGTTCATGCCTGGATCTGACAGGAGAAACCTGGGCTCCAACCCAGCCAAGCAGGGGGGGCGACCTTAGCACACTGACCACTGTGCTCCAGGGCTGGCCCCTCAGCTTAGCTTTTTTAGATTTCATAAAAAATGATATCATATAGTTATCTGTCTTTCTCTGACTTATTTCACTTAGCATAATGCCCTCAAGGTTCATCTATATTGGCAAAAATGGCAGGATTTCATAAAATTCATGGCTTAATAATATACCTTTGTGTACATATATCCCACATCTTCTTTCTCCATCCATCTGTTGATGGACACTTCTGTTGTTTCCATATCTTGGCTAATGTGAATAATGCTGCAATGAAGGAGGAGTCCAGAGATCTTGTTGAAACAGTGATTTTAATTCCTTTGGACATATACCCAGAAGTGGGTTGCTTGAGCATTTGGTGGTTCTATTTTTAATTTTTTGAGGACCTCCATACTGTTATCCATCATGGCTATTGAAATTGACATTCCCACCAAGAGTGTCCAAGGTTCATGTTCAGGCCAAGCATTTTAAGAAGCAAGCAGGGGTTCTCCACTCTCTTGTCTTCTGCCTGGATTCAAAGGACCCTGAGCCTTTAGGAGATGGTGGAATCACCGAATGGAAAACGACTCGATCCCTGACACAATATTTGAGCCAGCTGATGCCCACATTGGGAGGTCCTGTGATTGTGAAATAAACTTCTCCTATTGAGCTTTGACATGGTGGGGTTTATGTGTTACAGCTGCGAGGATGATCCTAACCACTATACCTTCTAGATGTCGTTGCCCACTAGCGCAGTGCTTCTGAAACTATTGTCGTTGTGGAGTAGAAACTGTTTTTCATATTTTCAATCTGTGATGGACTGATCCTTTGGGTCTATACTGTGTGCAACTAGAAAGGGCTCCTGATCGTATACTTGAATGTCACGAAAATGTCAAGTTGCTGTAGGTTTGGAAGCACTTACTGGCAATTTTTGCACTTATCGAGTTGCAAACTGTTAATGGTTGGTGGACCTGTACTGGCACTGCTTAAGCTTATTATCCTGTTTTATTTGCTCCATAGCATTTACCATTCCCTGTAATTATCTTGTGTGTTTGAGGTCTATTTGTTTCTGGTTTTATTCTCTGCAAGAATGTAAGCTCCATCAGAAAGAGATCTTCTTATGTTGCTCTGTTGCATTCCTAGTTCCTGGTACAGTGTCTGGTACATTGTAGGTGCAGAATGTATTTGTTGAGTGATTAGTGAATGACAAGATTTGGGGGGAAAGTTGGGAGAGGAGGCAATCCATACCTGTTAGGGAAGTCTCTACAGTCATAACCTGATGCCAATTCTAACCAGTTCACCGACAGCTGCCTGACTCCCTGGATTTGTGTTAGATCTGAGTTCCCCAGATCAGGTCTGGCCTCTTACAACCCACCTCCCTAGGTTCCCCTTAGAGATTGGACCACTCTGAACTGTCACTATTTGATGATGTGTCTATCTGCAAACCTGGTTGGTGAGTTGTGAGGGGATGGGGTTGGATCTGACGTGGTCACTGCTATGTCCCCAGAGTCAGGCAGCATGTTCAAGGCCCTTTGTGGTTGCCATAAGTAGATATATGGCATGAATGCGTGAATGTGGGTAGGAGGGGAGGCTTCCCTGGGGCAACAGTGCCCTACCCTCTCCCCTATGGCCCCCATCCCTTGCTAGGGTCCAAGGGTTGGTCTTGAGCTCAGGTCAAATAGGTGGCCATAGCTACACTTCCTTCCCACCTCAACAACCTCAAGGAGATGGCCCAGGCTGGCAACACTTGGCAGTCTAGACATTGAGGAACTGGTGTCCCACTGGGCCCAAATGGAGACTTTGAGCCATGTAAGTAATGCTTTTGTATATATTTGGTGGTTTGTTCATGAGCTGGAGAGCAGGTTACCGAGATAACGTGTCCACTGTGAGCATCAAGCAGATGCTGGCCGTACCGATGCATGCCAGAATAATTGATGCAATTGATAATCTGAAGGCCATCCATGAGGACTTGACTGCCAAGGCGTGTTCATTCCTATAGTTGTAGCGCATTGTCTGAGTTTGTGGGGAGAGATAACAGCAGTAGATGGGTTTGAAAGTGTTGTTGGATGGGATCGAGGTATGGGACTATAAGGAACCAGGGTGGGGACCTGAACCCACAGGAGGAAGAACGTGGATGAAGTTGGTTCAGGGAAAGGGCCATGATGGAGAGGGAGAGGAAGGGAGGAATTACATGATGCAGATTCTCACCTGCCTAGAATAGTACAAAGCCGCAGTGCCTAAGGGGCAACACAGGAGGTAGGCCACGAGTGACAGCACGAAGTGGTCCCTAGGGGGCCTCTCAGACTCCTCAGGCTCACAACAGTCCTCACACATTTTTTAAAATGCCTATAGGCAAGGAATGGTTTATGGCTCAGTATGGCTTCTGGTCTCTACCATCCCCTCTGACCTCCTCCTTTTCATCCTCTTGGCTCCTATAAATTCTTTACTGACTCCTTTAAAACTCTCACTGACTCCGTCTAACTCCCACCATGTCCCCTCTAACCTCTCCGCATCCCCTTTTGATACCTCTCTGTCCTGTAGAACTCCCAGTTCCCCACATCCCCATGCCCTGTAATCCCTCTCTGTTCCCTGTTACCGTTTCTCTGTCTCCTATAACCTCCACCATCTTCTAAAACTGCCTTGCAGAGCCCCATAGCATGTCTCTCTTGCCCCTTCCACTGTCTCCCAAAATCCCTTACTGACTTTGATGACTGTCACTAGGCCTCCCTGAAACCTCTGGTGACCCAGTATCACAATTTGTTCCCATAAAACCCTCATCATTCCCCAAAGCAGCCTTGTCTCTGCCCCTATAAACACTCCACAAGAAGACGCTCACTCAACGCTGTAACATTCTCACTTGTCAGCTGTAAAACCTTCACTGTCTCCATATAAATCTCTCACCCTATGAAACCTCTAATGTCTCCAATAGCTCTCTGCTTGTCGCTTTTATAATATCCCTCACTTGGTCCCTATGACGTTGTGAGGTCGTGCTCTGACCCTTACTATTCACCCATAAGCTCCTCCCTTCCCCCATCCCCCATAACCTCTCACTTGGCTCCTCTAAGACCTTCTTTGAGCACCTAGAGCTCTAAGTCCTCTCCCTGTGCACTCATATGTCCCATTACAAGGCCTGTCACCCTCCAGCACCATCTCTGTCCCTCTGTAACCAGCTTCCTGACCCTTTGGACTCCTTCTCTGTCTGCTCATAGCAGCCTCCCTCTTCTCCGAAACACGTCCTCCCTCTACATACTTCTCTACACATAGCACCCCCTTATGACACTCCCTGGACCCCTCATGCCCCCTCTACGCACTCTAACTCTCCTCCTCCCACCATGTTCCCCCATGAATTCCCTCCCTACCGTTCAATACCCCCATTAAGACATCTGCATCCAGTGCTACCAAGGCTGCATTGAGCCTCTTCCTCACTTCCACCTGCCAGGGATTACCATGGAGACCAGGCAGGCCCCGCCTCCTATTCTGTCTTGCTACTTCTATTGGCTGGCTGGAGGTTGTGTGGGATGGGTGGGGAAGCCAATACCTGGCTGCCTTTTGGTCTAAGGAGTTTTCCTCTTCTCTCAGGTGACTGATCAGTTCTGGGGGTGCCTTGGGGAAAAGCACCACTAGGGGAGAGAGTGATGAGGGCTTAGGAGTCCTGAGTTGCTTCAGGCATCTTAAGTGGCCATTGAAATACTTGGAGTCAGGTTCTTCAGCAGTGGAGGGTGATCTTCGTGAGAATTAATATCTTTTCCTGTGCTTGTTTGCCTGCTGTCTACCTCCGGCAAAGTCTCAGTTCACATCTTTTGCCTATTTTAAAATTTGGGTTGTTTTCATTACAGTTAAGTTTGAGAGTTGTTTGTGTATCTTAGACACAAGTCCTTTGTCAGACATATGATTTGCAAATATTTTCTCTGGGTCTGTATCCATCTTTTGACTTTCTAAGAGTGTCATTTGCAGGACAAAAGTTTTTAATTTTGATGGAGTCTAAGTTTCCTTTAATGGGCATGGTTTTGATATAATTTCTAAGAACTCTTTGCATAACCCAGGGTCAGGAAGACTTTCTCCTATGTTTTCTTGTAAAAATTTGATAGATTTACATTTTACCTTTAGATCTATGATCCATTTAAGTTAATATTTGTATAAGATGTGAGGTTTTAGTTGAGATCAGTTACTTTTTGCATGTGGCGGTCCAATTAATCTGACACCATTACAAACACCTGATTCTTTCTTTGATCTCTTTCTGCACTCATTGCATTCTGCTGATCTCTGTCTACCCGTTTGCCAATACCACACTCTCTTGCTAATGTGGTGTAACCACAGGCCCTCTAGGACCATTTCAACTGACCCCATCGTATCAACAGAATAATTAAGAGTGGTTTTTCAGAAACTGAGAAACGACCCCTAGTCCAGTTCCAGCCGGTTGAGACCACCAACTCCTCATCTGGGCCTGCATAAATGCCCGATAAATGAGCTTTTGACGTCAAGAGGCTGAAAACTCCACCCTCAGATCATGCTAATAGCACCGTTTTGTGACCATGTGTCGGATGAAGAGCCCTGAAGCTGGACTGCACTTGCACAGATCATCAATTACCTCACTTCCGCTTACCTGTAGTCGTCTGTCTCCACACTTCAGACTGTCCTGCCCTTCATCCCATAAATTTTGCCCCAAGCCCTCGCTGGGCAGACAGATCTGAGAGCTGATGCCTCCTGTCACCTTGCAGATCAATGTCATAATAAAGCTCTATTCCCTTTTCAAAAGCTGATGCTGTAATAATTGGCTCTTAAGCACATCAGGTAAGGGATCCCAGTTTGGTGTGGTTACATTAGCTTTACCGTGATTCTGAAAATTGGGTAATGTGACTACTCCAACTTTCTTCTTCTTTTTCAGAATAGTTATGACTACGCTTTTCTAGATCTACAAGTTTGGTTGGTCTCTCAATAGGAATTGCTTTTGAATTTCATATCATTTTTGCAGAGATGCTGATACTTCCAGTTCACAACCAGGGAAGACTCTCCTACATTTATTCATTTCTTCTTTTATTTCTTTCATGAGCAGCTGTAGTTTATTTACACAGCTCGTACACATTTATTTGAGATTTACATCCAATAACTTGATTTTTGGGCAGCTATTGAAAGTGGTAGTATTTTAAAAAATATTAGTTTCTGATTGTGTATAGCTAGTGTATTGGAAATACATAGATTTGTGTGTCATATTGCAACCTGTGATCTTTCTAATCCCATTTTGTCAATTCTAGGAGTGTTTTTGCTGATTCCCTTGGATTTTCCACAAAGACAATCATGCCATCTGGCAATAAGGGCGATTTTCTTTCCTCCTTTGTAATCCGTATGCCGTTTCTCTCTGTTTCTGACTTCTTGTGCTGATCAGGACTTCCAGACCTGGAATAGGAGTGGTGAGAGTGGACATCCTTGCCTTGTTGCAGATTTCGGGGTGGAAGCCTTTCCTCCTTCACCGTTACATATGATGTTAGCTATGGGTTTTCTGTAAATACCCTTTATCAGGATGAGGAAGGTCCCTGTTCTGGTTTGCTGAGTTTTTATAGTGAATGGAGGTTGAATTTTCTGAAATGCCTTTTCTGCATCAATTGATCGTGTGGTTTTCCTTCTTTAGACAGTTAATATCGTGGATTACCTTGATTACTTTTCTAATGCTGAACCAGCTTTGCATTCTTGGGAGAAACCCCAGTTGGTGATGGTGTATGCTATTTATATCCTTCTGTTTCTGGTTTTTAAATATTTCATTGAGACGTTTTCTGTCTGTATTCGTGAGCGATATTGGTCTGTAGTGTTTGTACATTGTCTTGATCTGGTTTTAGTTTCAAAGTAATACTGGCCTGATAAGTTGAGTTGGGCAATTGTCCCTCCTCTTCTATTTTCTGGAAGAGATTGTATGGAAATGATATTACTCGTTTGCAGTAATTTGCTGGTGACTCTGTCTGGGTCTGGAGATTTCTGTTTCACAAGGGTTTTCTTCAAAAAATTATTTTATCTTATATACATATACCACATCCTCTTTATGCAATCATCAGTCGATGGGCACTTGGATTGTTTCCGCGACTTGGCTATTGTGAATAGTGCTGCAATGAACATAGGGGTGCATATGTTACTTTGCATGGTTGATTTTAAATTGTTTGGGTAGATACCCTGTAGTGGGATAGCTGGGTCGTATGGTAGTTCTATTTTCAGTTTTTTGAGGAATCTCCATACTGTTTTCCATAGTGGCTGCACCAGTTTGCATTTCCACCAGCAGTGTGTGAGGGTTCCCTTCTCTCCACACCTTCTCCAATTTTTGTTATTTTTTGTCTTAGTGATTATGGCCATTTTAAGCTGTGTAAGGTGGTAGCTTGGTGTAGTTTTGACTTGCATTTCCCTGATGCTTAATGGAATACTACTCAGCCATAGAAAAAGACAAAATTATCCCATTTGCAACAACATGGATGGACCTGGAGGGAATTATGCTAAGAGAAATAAGCCAGACTGAGAAAGACAAACACCAGAGGATTTCACTCATATGTGGAATATGAACAAACATATGGACAAAGAAAACAGTTCGGTGGTTACCAGGGGAAGCAGGGTCGGGGGTGGGCACAGTGGGTGAATGGCAGCACTTATGTGGTCACAGTCAAGAAATAATGTACAACTGAAACTTCACGTTGATGTAAACTATTATGACCCCAATAAAACATTATTTTCTTGGGGTCATAATGGTTTATGACATTGTGTAATTTCAGCTGTACATTATTATTGATCAGTTTCTGTATAGACTGCATCGTGCTCACCAGCCATAGTCTAATTTTTATTGGTCACCGTATATATGTGTCCCTTTACCCCTTTCACTGACCCTCCAACCCTTTCCACCCCTGGTAACCACTAATCTGTCCTTTTTATCCATGTGTTTATCTTCCACATATGCATGAAATCATCAAAGATGTTTGTCTCTCTTTGTCTGGCTTGTTTCACTTAACACAATACCTTCAAGGTCCATCCATGTTGTTGCAAATGGCACAATTTTGTGTTTTTATGGCTCAGCAGTATTCCATTGTATATATATTCTACATCCTCTTTATCCATTTGTCCGTTGATGGGCACTTTGGTTGCTTCCTTGTCTTGGAAATTGTGAAGAATGCTGCAATGAACATAGGGGTGCCTAAATCTCTTTGGATTGTTGATTTCAAGTTCTTTCCATAAATACCAGTAGGGTGATAGCTGGATTGTGTGGTATTTCTATTTTTAATTTTTGAGAAATCTCCATGCTGTTTTCCATAGTGGCTGTACCAGTTTGCCTTCCCACCAGCAGTGTATCAGGGTTCTCCTTTCTGCACATCCTCTCCAACATTTGTTACTTTTTGTACTCATAGTTATGGCCTTTCTGACAGCTGTAAGGTGATATCTCATTGTAATTTTGATTTGCATTTCCCTAATAACTAGTGAAGTTGAACATCTTTTCATGTGCGTGTTGGCCATCTGTATATTTTCTTTGGAAAAAATGTCTTTTCATATCCTCTGCTCGTTTTTTGATTGGGTCATTTGTTCCTTTGTTTTTGAGTTGTATGTGTGTTTTATACATTTTGTAGATTAACCCCTTGTTGGATATATGATTTGCAAATGTTTTCTCCAGGAGGGTGGGTTATATTTTCATTTTGTTCATGGTTTCCTTTGCTTTGCAGAAGCTCTTTAGTCTGATGTAGTTCCTTTTGTTTATTGTTTCCTTCCTTTCCCATGCCTGAGTAGACGTGGTATTCGAAAAGGTGCTACTAAGATTGTTGTCCAAGAGTGTACTGCCCATATTTTCTTCAAGGAGTTTTATGGTTTCAGATCTTACCTTCAAGTGTTTGATTCATTTTGAGTTAATTTTTGTGTATGGTGAAAGATAATGGCCTACTTTCATTCTTTTGTATGAGGCTGTCCAGTTTTCCCAACACAATTTATTCATGAGACTTTTCTTTCTCTGTTGCATGTTCTTGGCTCCTTCCTCAAAGATTAGCTGTCGATAGATGTTTGGTTTTATTCCTGGGCTTTCAGTTCTGTTCCACTGATCTGTGTGTGTGCCTTTTTGCCAGTACCATGCTGTGTTGATTACTATAGATTTGTAGTATATTTTGAGGTCAGGGATTGTGATGCCTGCTGGTTTGTTCTTTTTTCTCAGGATTGCTTTAGCTATTTTGGATTTTGTTGTTCCATATAAACTTTCGGATTCTTTGTTGTATTTCCGTGAAGAATGTCATTGTGATTCTGATTGGTACTGCATTGAATCTGTAGATGGCTTCAGGTAATATGGACGTTATAACTATGTTTATTCTTCCAATCCATGAGCATCGATTATTTTGCCATTTCTTTCTGTCATGTTGAATTTCTTTCAATAATGTCTTATAGTTTTCAGTGTATAAGTCTTTCACCTCCTTGGTTAAACTTATTGCTAGATATTTTATTCTTTTTGTTGCAGTTGTAAATGGGATTTAATTCTTGAGTTCTTTTTCTGCTAGTTTGTGTTTAGTGTATAGAAGTGCAACTGATTTTTGTAATTAGGCTTTGTATCCTGCAAATTTGCTGTAGTTGATTATTTCTAATAGTTTTCTGATGGATACTTCAGTGTTTCCTATATATGGGATCGTGTTGAAATACAATCTGCAAACAATGAGAGTTTGTCATCCTCCTTTCCAATTTGGACTCCTTTTATTATTTTTTTTCTAACTTAATTGCCCTGGGCAAAAGCTCCAGTACTATGTTGAATAGGAGTGGTGAGAGTGGGCGCCCTTGTCTTGTTCCTGTTCTCAGAGGAACAGCTTTCAGTTTTTCAACACTGAGTATGATGTTTGTCATATGTGGCCTTTACTATGTTGAGGTACTTTCCCTCTATACTCATTTTATTGAGAGTTGTTTTTCTTTTTTTGCTGAGGAAGATTCTCCGTGAGCTAACATCTGTTACCAATCTTCCTCTACGTTGTATTGGGTTGTCTCCACAATATGACCCCTGATGAGTGTTGTAGGTCTGTGCTGGGAATCCAGTGAGGGTCGCCAAACTGGAGCATGCCGAAGTTAACCACTAGGATCCCAGGCTAGATCCTTACTGAGAGTTATTTTCTTAAATGGATGTTGGATCTTGTCAAATGCTTTCTATGCATCTATTGAGATGATCATGTGGTGTTTCTTCCTCATTTTGTTAATGTGGTGTATCATACTGATTGATTTGTGGATGTTGAACCATCCCTGCATCCCTGGTATAAATCCTGCTTCATCATGGTGTATGATCCTTTTAACGTATTGCTGTGTTTGGTTTGCCAAGTTTTGTTGAGGTATTTTGCATTTATGTTCATCAGTGACATTGGCCTGTAATTTTCCTTCATTGTGTTGTCCTCGTCTGGTTTTGGTTTCAGGGTAATGTTGGCCTGAGTATGAGTTAGGAAACATTCCATGTTCTTCAAGTTTTTGGAATAGCTTGAGAATGATAAGTATTAACTCTTCTTTGAGTATTTGGTAGAATTCTGCAGAGAAGCCATCTGGTCCTGGACTTTTGTTGTTTGGGAGGTTTTTGATTACTGTTTCTACCTCTTTACTTGTGATTGGTGTATTCAGACCGTCTATTGTTTCTGATTCAGTTTTGGGAGGTTGTATGAGTCTAAGAATTTACCCATTTCTTCTAGGTATGCCAATTTGTTGGCATATAGTTTTTCATTGTATTCTCTTATAATCCTTTGTAGTTCTGTGGCATCCATCCTAAATTCTCCTCTTTCATTTCTAATTTTATTGGCCTGAGCCTTCTCTCTTTTTTCCCTAGTGAGTCTGGCCAAGGGTTTGTCAATTTTGTTTATCTTGTCAAAGAAGCAGCTCTTAGTTTCATCGATCCTTTCTACTCTTTTTTGAGTCTATATTTAATTAATTTCTGCTCTACTCTTTGTTATTCCCCCTCCTTCTCTCGGGTTTGGACTTTGTTTGTTTTTCTTTTTGTAGTTCTGTTCGGTGCAGTGTAAGATTACTTATTTGAGATTCTTCTTATTTGTGGAGGTGGGCCTGTACTGTTATGAATTTCCCTCTTCAAACTACTTTCGCTGCATCCCATAAAAGTTGTGATGATGTGTTTTGATTTGTCTCTAGGTATTTTTGGATTTCTCCTTTGATTTCTTCATTGATCCACTGGTTGTCCAGTAGTGTGGTGTCTAGTCTCCACATATTTTTGAGCTCCCCAACATTTTTCATGTAGCTGGTTTCTAGGTTCGTAGCCTCGTGGTTGGAAAAGGTGCTTGGTATGATTTGAATCTTCTTAAATTTATTGAGGCTTGCCTTGTTTCCCAACATGTGGTCTATTATTGACAATGTTCCATGTGCAGTGGAGAAGGATGTATTCTGCTGCTTTTAGATAGACTGTTCTCTATATACCTACTAAGTCCATCTGCTCAAGTGTTTCATTTAAATCTCCTATGTCCTTGTTGACTTTCTGGCTGGATGATCTATCCTTGATGTAAGTGGGGTTTGAGTTCCCCTACTCTGATTGTGTTGCCATTATTTTCTCCCTTTAGGACTGTTAATATTTCCTTTATATCCTGTGGTGCTCCCGTGTTACATGCGTATATATTTTGAGAAGGGTTTTAGTTACAAAATCCATTTCTTTAACAGCTATAAAATGACTCAAAGATTATTCTCTTTCTCCTTGATGAGTTTTGGGGGTTCGTCCTTGAAAAGCGGGTCAGTTTTCACCTAAGTTGTTGAATTTATGTGTGAAGAGTTGTTTATAGTAGCCCCTTAATTTCCTGTGATGTGTCAGGGATCTGTAGTGATGGTCTCTCCTTCATATCTGATATTGGTCATCTGTGTCATTTTTCTTCTTTTGTCCATCTTATGAAAGCTTTATCAATCATTTGCTCTTTTCAAAGGACCAGCT